GAGGAAATTTTTCTATAATAATTTGCAAACCCAATAAAATTTGGAAATGCCTTAAGTCCCTGAGGAAGCAGCCAAGAGGTTCTAGTTTGGTCAGTTCCATACTAAAGCATGTCTCAGATAGGAAATACCCCAGGGACTGCACTGTTTCTAATTTGCATGAAAAAAACATTTCGAAGCAATCTAGTTAAAGGGACACTATAGTCACCCAGACCACTTCAGCTCAATGAAGTGGTCTGGGTGCCAGGTCCCTCAGGTTTTAACCCTTCAGATGCAAACATAGCAGTTTCAGAAAAACTGCTATGTTTACATTTGGGGTTAAGCCAGCCTCTAGTGGCTGTCTTCCGGACAGCCACTAGAGGCGGATCTGCGACGCTGGAGGCATATTATGCCTCCATCGTGCAGATCGTCCATAGAAAAGCATTGAGAAATGCTTTCCTATGGACACTTTGAATGCACTCGCGGCACTTGCCGAGCATGCGCATTCGGCTCTGCTGACGTCGGACGGGGGAGTTGATGTCGGTGGGGGAGGAGAGGTTTTAACCCCTTCAGTGCCACTGGAGGGGGACCCTGGTGGGGGCACCCTCGGGGCACTATAGTGTCAGGAAAACCGCTTTGTTTTCCTGACACTATAGTGATCCTTTAACACTATTCTAACATGTTGGTGATGTGTTTGAAGATCTGAGGAATCGATCAGTATATCATTCATGTATACCAGAGCACACAAGGGCAGAATTTCAGGTAGGACATTGTTGATTAGATCCTAGAAGACTGCAGGGACATTACAAAAACCAAAGGGCATGACTAAGTATTCATAGTGCCCACTACAGGTGTTCAAAGCAGTCCTTCATTAATCTCCCTCTCTTATTCTTACAAGGTTATGTGCACCCCTTAGATCCAGTTTTGTGAAAAACAAAGATCCCTTTATGCGATAGAATAGTTCAGTAACGAGGGGAACAGGGTAAGCATTACGTATAGTTATCCGGATTAAGCCTCTGTAGTCTATGCATGGTCTCAAATCTCCTTCTTTTTTAGAAACAAAAAAGAATCTCGCTCCGGCTGGAGATGAGGATCTCCTAATTAAACCCTTAGGTAGTGACTCTAAGGGTTTGAGGGGTCGAGGCAATCAGTGAAGATGAATAATAAAAAAGTA